GCAGCCTATGCCGTCACCAGCAACTCAGCAGCCCAGCTCCAGGTTGAGCTGTTGTTCAGCATCTTAGCTGTGGAGGGCACTGTCACTGGCCCTCATATGTGGGATCCGAACCGGGGCCCTCTGGCGTCTGAAGCCAGTTCTTAACCAACGTGCCACTCGGCCAGCCCTGGAGCAATTTAAATCTCCAGTGTTAAAAGTCATTATCCATTGAAGAGCAATCAGAAAAATAAGGCATCGTGATTAAAATAAAGGCCAGTGGAAATATAGGGCATATATCTGCAGGCAGCTTTGCAGGAGTCAAGCTGTACAACTGTGGAGAGCCTGTAATATAATACAATTCTCCTGAGGGTTCTAGAGAAAACAAGATGCTCCCCAGACCGTCTCTCCTCCGAGCTTCCCACTCAGGCTCCTTTCCAAGCTCTCCAGGGCTTTCGATTCCCCAAGTCGCCAGCCACTCATGGATTGTGATTCCTGGGAGCCACACGGAGCCACACTGTCCCAAAAGAGCAACCTGAAGCTTTTCACTTCGTGATAGCTTTACAATTTTGATTCCTAAAGATTTCATTATTATGCAGTCTCTCATTAGGGTAAAAACCAAACCTTAACCAGGTGCTCCCAACGTGTTTCCAAAGAAGAATAAACTTGAGTTCACAGCCTGAGGACATATGCCAAAACAGCCTGCCCAAAGCCAGAAACATTTTTTGAAGACTTGTTTTATCTTAAAATATTTTTATTGGGCCGGCCGAGTGGATCAGTTGTCAAGAGTTCAAACTCTTGAGCAAGCTCTTAACCAACTGAGCCACTCGGCCGGCCCCTGAGATTTTTTATTAATTTTTTTCAGCCTACTGAGATATAAGTGACATATAACACTATGTGAATGTAAGGTGTACCATGCTGGCTTCACACACTTAGATATTGCAAAATGATGACCACCAAAGAGTTAGCTAACACCTCCACCCTCTCACATGATTACCATTTCTTTTTTGTGGGGAGAACATTTAAGATTTATACTCTCTTAGCAACTTTCAAGTATATAATACAGTATTGTTAGCTATAATCACCATGCTGTACATTAGATCCCCAGAATTTATTTATCTTATAACTGGAAGTTTGTACCCTTTGACCAATGTCTCCCCATTTTCATTTGTAGCTGTCCAGTTATTGGCCTTTGCTGGGGAATGAGGCTGGGGTCTCCTACCTGACCATTTTGGTGACATGATCGGTTCAGCCAGAGATCCAGTAACTTCTTAGTAGGGAATGGCAGTGTTTCTTTGGGGTCTGAGTAAGAGCAGTTGAGAAAAAAGGAGCAGTGGAAGGGAATCAAAATCTTTGTGATAATTTAAAATTTCACCAGCTTCTGAGCTGTCTGTTACAATGTGAAGGACCCAGTGAAGCCACCCACACACCCATACTTCTTGCTCAGGTGAAGCACACCTTTTATCAGGGTGACATGAAAATAAAGTGCCAGGCCAGGTCAGCACAGCTATTCAGCTACATCTTTCCTAGTTTACACAGTGAGGAAAAGTTTAAGTGCTGAGAGTACAGTTAGGACATTAGCACTTTGCAGAGGAAGATTTTGTCTCTAAATTACGTCTTCCGTGATTCAGGTGGATCTTTGTCTGTGATACTATTGGGTTGTCGGAAAAGTCATGACGTATTTTTTTCTCTGTTTTTCGTTGCAAAAAATGTGTCATGACTTTTCCGACAACCCAATATATTCTGATAAAATTATGCTCTGGGTGTCACAAGTTGTATTAGCTTATCTATACTCAGGTTAAACTGCAGCATAAACATATTTTTGTGAAATAAAATGAGTGAATAAAATGTGTATGAAAGCTTTGTAAAGAATAAAGGGCTGGGGCCAGCCGAGTGGCTCATTGGTTAAGAGTTGGCTTGGGAGCGCAAGCTCAAAGCAGCAGAGCCACTGGTTCGGATCTCACATGGGCCAGTGACACTGCGCCCTCCCTCTACAGCTAAGATGAACAACAGCTTGAACTGGAGTTGGGCTGCCATGAGTGGCCATTGACAGCATAGGCTGCAGTGAGGCTGCCGTGAGCCGTCATGAGCAGCCATCCAAGAGACGGCAACCAACGGCCTCACCCGGGAAGAGCACAAAGATCACAACACCTACATGGGCCAGTGAAGCGATGGCCTCCACAACTAGACTGAAGAACAAAAGGACAGCAACTTGTCTGTGCCCCTTCCCCGATTCCCCAATGCTGTTCCCCTCCCCCAAATCCCCAACAAAATTTAAAAAAAAAAAAAAAAGAATAAAGGGCTGCATTATTGTAAAACAATTTAAAAATAGCATGAATGTTAGTTACCTACCCTCCTTTTATTCTTTCAGCTGTGGGCTACAAAGCTTGAACCGGAGTTTGTCCGCCCAACCCTGGAGAAGACGCTCCAGGTCCTCCAGCTGGATTACGTCGATCTTTATGTCATTGAAGTACCCATGGCTTTTAAGGTGAGTTCAGACCCCTAAAGGTTTGGCCTCTGCCCTTTGGCAACCATGAGCCAGCTGCTATGTGCATGAAGCCAGTTGGTTGCTTGGCGCCATAGAATGTTATGGCTTTGTTACCTCAAACCACACAGCACTGACCTAGCCAACAAATGCCTAGAAAGACTATATGTGACAGACTTGGGCCTAGATCCTAAGCTTCTTGATTCATAACCCAATGCACTTTTTATTATATGCTGTCTCTATAACTGTAGCTTAAACTCTCCATCGGACCATCACGTAGTTCCCACACTCTAGTCCATAGTCTAGTTGTCCAGCATCCAGACACAGCCTTCTTCCCATTCACATAGTCATGAAAATGTCCCTGCACCACACAATGCAAAATAATACGTACAACTGAAAACTGACTTACCCTCCAGCCCCTCCAAAGGGAAACAACCCAAAGAATAGACAGGTCTGTGGAGTCAGCTCTAAGATCGGGGTGTGATCTCTATTCCTCTAGTCCACACGAACTTCTTTCTTGAACTTTCTCAATCTATGGACTCAATGTTAATTTACCCACCAACAACACACCCCCATAGACATGGCAGAAGAGCAGTAACTGCTTTAAAATTTCATGGAGGGAAGGAGAGATTGACAGTGAGACTGGTCACTTGTGCACAAGGCAAATCAGACCCTGCTGGTCAGGAGGAACAAGGACTGTCCGCCATTGCAGCGGACAAATTCCTTCACGCAGCCAACCTGGCTGTGCCTGTTCTTCTTGTTGACTCTTCTCTATGGTCAGCTCCAAGATAGGCATTGAAGACTCCCTTTTTGCATCCTACGTCCTGTAGATAAAGGTTTGCAGGCTTCACAATGGCCTTGGTAAACAAAGGCTTTTATTGGTCAGCTTGGAACTTCACAGACAAGACAATATCCCCTCAAAGTTTGCTAGGCTTTCAGTAAATTCACATTCAGTGAGCTCCATGAAAAAGTAACCAAAACTAGAAATCGTATTGGGTCACATTTCTTATATCTAATCCTTGGCCTGTGGTTTCCGCATCTTAGCAAAGAAGCTCCTTGTTCTGCTCATCTGCTCAGTCCTCACCCTAACAGCCTCAGTCTGGCTTGAGATAATACAAGGGAGGCACAGGCAATGTGTTCCTTGCACCCAGTCTGCATCTCATTGGATGGTGCACCTTTGTTGGGTAGGGCATCCACGATCTGAGATCTTGCCCTCAGAGGGATACTGACAGCCAGAATTCTCCCGAAGTCCCATTTTATCTCCCTTTAGGATTCATACCTCCCTGTCTTGGCTGGCACTGACTTTTCTCGCTCTAGAAGGCTCAGATCTGATCTTCTGCCATTTTGGATGGTATCCAGAAGCAGAAAGTAGCTGTTTTAGCAAAATATCATTTTACCTCTTGTCTCACAAGCCAGTAGCAATAGGCACATTTATATTTCTTCAGGACCTGACTGAAGACTGCAAACACGGCCAACAAACTCTGACACCCAACATTTTTCTACTAAGTCCCCTAAATCTTATCTTAGTAGCCCCATTGTCTTCAGTCTCAAGACACAACAAGGCAACAATTTAACCAGATGCCACGCTACTGCATAGCAAGAACAGCCAGTTCTCAGCTGAATATAGGAAAATTCTCACTGTCCACAATCCCATACTGACCTCGCCAGTTCCATATTTTTTGTCCATTACCTGCCATACCCCAACACCTTTGTATTAGTCAGGACTCTTGTTACAAATGGCAGAAATCCAACTCAAATGGGCTTTAGCAAAAGGGGAACTAAGCAGTCCAAGGGTTATCTAATTCAGGCTCAACTGGTTCAAACTATGTACCTTTGTGGAGAAGGTAAACAGAGAATTCATATTCTTAGATGAGATCAAGGGTGAAAGACACAGAGAAGGCAAAACTTTGAGAAGGACATGCTTGTCCTTTCTCTATCTCCATGTTCAGGTTGGCTTCATTCTCAAAAATCCCTCTCTATATGATGGCAAAATGGCTATTGACATGCGGCACCCACATTACCAATACAACTGAAGAATTCAGAAGAAAAGAGATTACACATTAAAACCTCATAGAGAAATACTGATTAGCCTTGCTCCGGTCATGTGCCCATTACTAATTTTTGGTGTAAGGGCATGGGTGACTGATTGACATCTATGGTCAAGAGTGGGAGCTGGGTCAGCCCATACAAACAATATAGAAAGCGCTCCTCCAATAAGAATGGTAGAAAGTAAAATAATGGACCCCCGCTGTACTCATGAATAGAGGTCACTTGGCACGGTGGTAAGGAGCATGGACTCAGAGCCAGGCTGCCTAGTTTGAATCCCAAGTCTGTCACATTTGAGCCAGATGACTTGGTCAGGTTATTACCTGATCTCTTTACACATCACTTAAATATGGTACAGTGGAAACAGAAGGGGCTTTGGAGTCACACAAGAGGGACTGACTTTCAGACTTATTACTTACTAGCATAGTCACTTTGAACTTTCTGAACTTCAATTTCATTATCAGTAAAAGGAGATGATAATAACTAACTTGCCAAGTGTTGTGAGGGGTCAAAATTATATATATGAAATCACACATTGCTTGGCATTTCATAGATAACAAATGAAAGATAATAGTGCGAGATGTTCAGGTGGAAAAGAACCTTAGTAATTATATATCCCAACATATAGAATATCTTCATTTCACAAAAGAGAAAGTTAGGCCCCAGGCAATGAACCAGCTAACTCAGGTTTAAAGTCCATTAGAGCTGGGACCTAGAGTACATCAGGGGATCTGATGCCAAGCCCATGCTTATCTCCTATACTACACTGTCCCTTGGCCTTATCTTCACAAGGCAAACAATTCCTATACCCCGTGGACAACAGTGATTTTATGTTGTTGTTGTTTTTTATTTCAGGCTCTTGGCAGTTATGAGCTCAACCTCCTTCCTTACTCAGCTAACTTGGACTCTTGTTTAAATGGCAAATTTCTAAGCTGAGTTATTAAAATACAGGTTCTTTGCAAAGAACCTGTATTTAAAAGTGAGAAAACAAGAGTTTACTTCTCTGTGGCTGACTAATGACATAATATCTTTTTGGCGAAGGTAAACAAAGAATTGATATTCCTATTCTTAGATGGGATTAAGGTTCAAAAACACAGAAAAGGTCAAACTTTTAACAGTGAGAAGTGACACAATTTAATGACATGACCTCCCAACTGTACCTGTAATCTCTGCAATTGAGAAATCAATCTTTGAAGCTAGACTATCACATGCTTTTTGAATCTCATGATTTCTTTAAACAAAAATACCTTTCTTGCTAAAATAGCTTAGCACTTTTTTTAAATGTCATGGTAACAAGCAGACAATTTCAGAACGACAAAATATAAAACACAAAAAAATCACGGTAAGACATTTTTAAAAGATGAATGAAGTTACTACTGAGCAGGAATGAGAGTCAATAGCATGGGATTTCAGAGGGTTGCAATATCCTTCTAATACTGCCTTACAGTAGGAGCAGAAGTGGAGGAAAAAGACGATGGGCTTATCCAGATGAGGGACCCAGTGGGAGATTAAGGGGAACATCATAGAAATATCTAACATGGCTTCAGGGTTGATAAGGACTTAATTAAAATCTGGAAAAATAATAATTATTTAACAGAGTTCATGATAGAGGCATGCAACTATTCCAGAACAGAAGTAAAACTAGGAAATGCAAAAGGCAAGAAATGAAGGGCCGGCCAAGTGGCTCAGTTGGTTAAGAGCTCACTCACAAGTGCGAGCTCTGAGCAACAGCGGTTCGATTCCTGGCCCGAGCTGAGCGAGCTAAGCTGCCGCTGAGCTGCCAACAGGTGGCAGGATGGCTCAGCTAAAAAAAAAAAAGGGAAGAAATATGGAGGAGGGAGACTGGAGCGGGAATGTGGGCCATAAACATTGAGAAGTTCAAGGAGCTTGGAAATCAGAGAACAAAAGAGTAATTAACATGAATGATGATGTGGCATTGAGGAGAAAGGAGTCCTTTCCTGCTCTCAGTGAGACAGGAGGAAATTGAGACAAAACTGCCTTTACTAAAGAAAGTGTTATCACTAGGGGAAAGCAGAAGGAAAAAATCAGGGGAAAAAATGTAAGCATATAATAAATTTTATCTAATTGCTTGGTTTTCAATAAAAGATTCCTATCATCAAGGTCTACAAAGACTTCCATGGTTCCAACCAAATCCAATAGATACTTTCTTTCCTCATATTATTTGATCTCTTTCAACACAGTTGACTCCTATCTCCTTTAAACATTTTTTTCTTGTATAACATCACCCTGCAATGATTCTCTGGCAGCTTCTTCTCTACCAACCTCTAAATGTTGTTATGTCCAATACTCTATTCTCAATATTCTTGTTTTACTAAGTCACACCCTCTCTGTGAGTGATCTCACACAGTTGCATGGATTGAATACTATTTTATATGCTGAGGACTACCAAAGTTTGTCTGCAGCCATCACCTCTTTCTGAGCCTCTCTCTAAGACTTCTCTGTTCAATTGCCTCCTCAAATAGCCACTTGAATGTTTAATGGTCATTCAAACTCAAAATATCCAAGACAAAACTCTTGGTTCCTAACCCAACCTCAGAAAATGATTACCATCATCCATCCAATGGTAATTGGACTCATCTTTTATTTCTCTCTATCCCATTTCCAAGCCCAGAAGAAATGGGTCCCAATTTTATTTTATTTATTTATTTATTGTTAGCTGAGCCATCCTGCCACCTGTTGGCAGCTCGGCAGCAGCTCAGCTCAGGGCCTGGAATCGAACCGGC